CAATACAAAAAAATACGATTTAGAGTTCACTTTACAAATTGTGAATGCAACTTCACAAGACAAGATACAGAATAAAATTCAAACACAAAGATAATAGAAAACATTACATGTTTTATGTGCACACTAATAACTCGTTATGGGCATTGGTATTTCTATGTAAAAACTATTTCAAAAGTCGCAGTCTATTAAAACTTATGCTACACAAACAGTGAAATTCAATATAAGGAACATGTCGAAAGAACTCGGAGACAAAACTGAAACAATTTGAAGTTATTTCAAAATCATTTAATGGTATTTTAGCTGAAAAATGGAAAGAAAAAAATGATATGCAGTACAAAGTCCGTAATCCGGAATGATCTACAATCCGGACCTCAAAGCCACACACTTTTTTTTGTATGCTTTACACATGCGCATAATGCTTTTATGCATACACATTTAATGTATAACAGATGGTATATGCTAGGCTAAAATTATCTTTACATCATTCTAAGGCATTTCAGTTTGCAGATTGCGTTGTTCCTTAATCTTCAAATTGGATCCGGCTTATTATTTTTTGCATACTATTAGAGTAATTTTAAGCTTGAACTTTTGATTATGTCAAAAAGAATTTCTAATTCTGGAGCTGCCAAAGGATCTACAAAGTGAAAGTATGTTTCCATGTCCATCAAACAAAAAGTGGAATTGCTGCAAAAAATGGATAAAGGCATATCCGCCTCAAAATTATGCGAGGAGTATGACATTGGAAAGTCAACTGTATATGACATAGGCAAAAAGATAAAGGAACTTCTTGAATTTTTTGTGGATTCCAACACACCACTTGCAATTAATAACAGAAAAAGGGTTCGTTATGCTAAAAGTGATGATCGCTACAAAGTGATGATTGAATGGGTCAGACAGCGTCGCAGCAAGGGTGTGCCATTGATTGGTCCAATGCTAATGACTCAAGCCAAAATATTTCATGAAGTAATGAACTTAAACACTGAGTGCAGATATTCAACAGGTTGGTTAACCAAATTTAAAAATCACCATGGTATAAGACAATTAAAAATTTCAGGTGAAAAAGCTTCAGCTGATATTGAAGCTGCTGAACAATTTGCAGATGAATTCATTGAACTCATTATTAGTGAACAATTATCTCCAGAATAAATTTAGAACGTTGATGAAACTGGTCTTTTCTGGCAATATGTGCTGCGAAATACCTAGGCAACCTCTACAGAAAAGGCTCCAACTGGTGTCAAAGATTCCAGAGCCAGACCAACAATTATAGCGTGTGCAAATCCTCCATGAATGCACAAGTGAAGACTTTTCGTAATCGGAAAACATGCACGACCTAGAGCAAAGGAGTAACGATTTCCCCCCGTTATATATCGCGCAAAAAAAAAAGCATGGATGACACAAGCGTTGATGAATGATTGGTTTGAAAATCATTTTATACCCAAAGCTCGGCGACATTGGAATTTGGCTGGTTTACCTCATGACTCAAAAATAGTCCTGATTGTTGACAACTGTTTGGCGCATACTTCACTTAAAGTTTTAGTGAAAGATAAATGTATCCGTATTACTCTTCTCTCCAAATTGTACGTCTATCATTCAGCCTATGGATATGGGAATAGTGCATGGGCTGAAATGCAAATATAAAGTAGCATTTTTAAAATCCATGTTAAATTCTTTTAACAATACGCAACACAATTCAACACTTTTTGAAAATTTTTAATATAAAATCTGCTGTGTAGAGCATCACAAGATCGTGGGAGGATGTTTCTCCAGATACGTTAAAAAAATGCTTGGCATAATTTATAACCAGCTACCATATTTCATGGTGAGGACGATGAGGATGATAGCTGCGAATATGAAGGTTTTCGGACATCGCAAACTAAAGGTGAAATTTTCCGGTTATCGGATTTTGTAAAGAAATGGTTATAAATGAAGATGATATAACAGAAGTTTTTCATTGTGACGACAATGCCCCAATCATCAATCAATTAACGTACGGCAAATATGTAGTATGGCTCTAAATCCAGAAAATACTGCTTCTGATAACGAAGAAAGTGACAGGGAGGTTATAGAAAATGAAAAATTTTGATTGACACGTTAGTCTGTATTCTCGACACAGCAATTGCAGGACTTGAACAGTGGAACTTTGTAACTAAACAAGAAATTACTTTTGTTTATAGAATTAAAGAGAAAGTATTAGTACAAAAAAGGAAGCAACTTAAACAATTTACATTTGAAAGAAATGTTTAATAAAGTAAACAAATAAATATTAAGCTTTTTTTTTTTTTTTTTTTTTTTTTTTTTTTGTAAATTTTGATACCCTTTAGATCATAATTGCTCTTTATTTCACAAATCACGGTTTCATATTTTTAATTGTATAATTTCTGCATGCCATCTCACCAGATTTAAATTGATGATCCATAATCCCGAAAAACCCTTGATCCGGAATCGCCGAAGTCCCGACGAGTCCAGATTACGGACTTTGACAGAAGACGTGTAAATTCACAAATAAGGTAAGTGGATATTTCCTTTGTGTAGTGCTAAGATGAATTTCCTTTTTTATGTTATTTCATTGTTTGATTTAAAATGTAGTTAACTGAGATTATATATTTTTTGTTGGCTGCTCCTTTCACTTTTTAAGTGAATTTAGATGATGTGTATATGGAGAAAGTCAAGGGAGTGCGCAATACCTAGTTCGTGCAATTCTCAGAATTTTTAAGTGAAAATAGGTCGAGGTGTACATTGATACCAAGTTTGTGCAATTCTTTGACTTGTTATTTTGGATTTGTGTAGTGCAAAAATCGTCGCTACACAAGGCCAAAATAACAAGTCAAAGAATTGCACAAACTCGGTGTCCATGTACTGTCAAAAATCACCAAGAGGGACCCGTAAATATAATTTTACCGCAGCTATTATTGAATATCTATCTGTATCAGTCTAGTTAACATTCTAAGTGAAGTTCCTCAGTGGCATAGCAAAAGGGGCAAGGGAGTGTATGATGCCCCGGGCGCCGCTCGCAGAAGGGCGCCAAAAAGGTATTTTGCCCCGGGCACCATTTATGCTCGCTACTCCACTGAAGTTCCTCTTTATTTTACTTTGATATTTATTTTAGTGAGTACAGTTCTGTTATCAGGACCACATCCAGAAATGCATAATGTATGTATAGATGGATGGATGTGTTCATATATGCATGTATATATATATTATTGAATATCTATCTGTATCAGTCTAGTTAACATTCCAAGTGAAGTTCCTCTTTATTTTACTTTGATACAGTACACTCCCGATTATCCGCGGAATTGGGTGGTGCGGCCGCCGCGGATAACAAAAAACGCGGATAATCTGAAAAAAAGCTAAGAACGGGTATAGCAAATAAGAAAACAGTCATTCAAACTTTGAAAAATTCGTTTTACGTACAATAAAACGTAAAATAAACAGCAGGAAATGTTTAACTGACACTTAATATTTTAGCTTATTACGTTTAATATATTCTCCCCATGAAGTCCAATTTCTCGAATTCCATGTTGCTGCTTAAAACGAGTCAACCAGCCAGATGACGCATCAAAATTTCCTTTCAGGCCTAACAACTCAAAAAAAAAAAAAAGGTTTTTGCCTTCGCCGCAATGACAGGACCATTTACAGGAGCACCCTCTTTTCAAACTTGAGCTAACCACTCTGTCAATGCCATGTCTAGCCCTTCATAGTTTTTTCACGTTTTCATTGCGAAAGCGCTGTTTGACATTGATGCAAAGTTCGCCATTTTGTCTTTTTGCTTTAGAATGTCACGAACTGTTGTTTCCGCGATTCCGTAATCCAATTCCATCTGCTGCCTTGTAGCCCCGTTTGCTACTTTGGAAATTAATTCTAGTTTTTGCGCAATCGTCAACACAACTTTCTTTCGTTTTCCCGACATTTTAAATCGGTAACGAAAAATACAAAACCAAAAAGCACAAGCACTGAACACAATAAAAGATAAGAAATTAAGCTTCGACCGGTTCGCAAACACTATAAGGCTTAAACTAACAATGGCGAGTGGGAGGAAGTGGACATGTCAGTAAGATTAAGACGAGAGAGGGCGGTGGAGCGGGCACTGCAAGGGTGAGTAAGAAATCATTTACTCTTCAGGGGGGAAGGTTCCGAGAAGGCCGAGGAGAAGGCTCTGAGAAGGCCTAGGATATTTTTGCCATAAATAAGCACGATGTTAGCAAATTTAACATTTCCCTCAGTTTTGTGAACATTTTTATTTCCTTTGCTTTAGGCTTGTATAAAAAAAAAAAAAAAAAAAAAAAATCTTTGTGCGGCAGGCGCGGATAATCGGGAATCTACTGTATTTATTTCAATGAGTACTGTTCTGTTATCAGGACCACATCCAGAAATGCATCATATATATATGGATGGATAGATGGATGGATGGATGTGTTCATATATGCATTTACATATAAAAGCCCGAATGCACGAGTGTTTATACATATACACATATACGCACATATGCATACATTCATACATTTCTGAATCCAGTCCTAATAACAGAACAGTACCTTTTAATGACCTGTAAATCATAAAAATGACATTTTAAAAACAAGAAGAAAGGGTAGCAGGCATTCAAAATAATAATAATAATGTCTCATGAAAATACATGCAAGAAATTTGAAATTTGTAAAAATATTGGTAGAATTTACTTATTTCAGTCTTTTCATGAATACTTTTATCACAAAATAAAATCATACGGATTATTTGCTTAACTGAAGGAAAGAAATTTACTGATTTAAGAGAGTTTGCTATTATGTTAACAGCAATACTTGTGCACTTATTTTTAGAATTACAACCAGCCAATTATACCCAGATGATCACAGTGCAATCTACATTGGATAAATAAGGTTTTACTATACATAAAATTTTGAAATTAGCATTACATCCAAATTTCACTTGAAAGATCATAAATTAAAATGCTATAACAGCAAACTAATCAATCAATTTGAGAATTTAATGAGAAATTAATGCCATACCATTGGAACAACAGGACCTAACTGCATGTACTGAACCAGACCATTAAAAAAAGGTCGACCAGCTAAATCAGCATAATGTTTCTCCAGAAGTTCTTGAGATGCCTACAGAATGGGATTAAAAAAAGAATAAAAATCAAACTTGTTAACAAAAGCAAAATTAGAAATTCAGCATGAGTAAAAACTGTTACAAGCAGCAAATTTAATCATTTAATTAAAAAATTAAATACAGCATATAACAGTATTTGTGTATCTGTCTCTATCATATACTAGGATTAAACCCAGTATTTTCATACGGTTACAAAATGCATTACTTAAAGCAGAGGTTCTCACAAAAAGGTTAGAAATCCCCGACTTAAAGCATAATTACTATTTCAAATCTTAATACAATTTTCACAAAAGAATGATAATATGCTAATAGTAGCATGACATGTATATAAATTTTAAGGAAATTATGACTTTTAGTTATGTATACTGTTGATTTTACACAAAATGAAATTGTTCAATGGCCAAGTAGAAAACCAATGTACACTGATTATTTTCCCTAGGTTTGATTCCTTGCAAACAGACTACCTGTAAACAATTTTTCATACATGTAAACAGAAAATGAGCCAGCCATCTTAAAATGGCCTCCATAAATATAACTTGTTACAAGCAGATAGCCCCAACATGTGTTACCATAATTAATTAACCACTTGTCATACATACGAAATAGCAGGAATCTTAATTAACCACTTGTCATACATATGAAATAGCAGGAATCTTAATGTATTCTTGCACAACACAAAAACTCAGTTCTTACAGCAAGTTTGATTCGGCATGTTAAGACCATTAATGCTTGAAAGCAAAAACGCTTGAAAGAGCCTCTGTGAACAGCTTTCTAAAGATACAAGTTCATTACTGGAGAAGCCAAACAAAAATCTGCATTATATTAGTAAAGTTTCATAGGACTAGTTTCGATGGTTTTACTAACGAACCATCTTCCTAAGCTGCCAAAGTGCAAAATGAAGGAGATAAGAATTGTTAGACAGGAGTTAAGCTACTTTAGCAGATGATTCAGTAGTTAAACAATCGAAACTAGTCCTATGAAAATTTGGCTAATCTTTGGAATATGGTAACAGGTAGTTTGGCAACATTTTGGTAAGGCGATAAAGGTTACTAGCTAGGACTTTAGCAGTGTACGTGGATAAAGTCAAGAGTGTGCGCAATGCCATTTTTTTCAATTCTGGGATGTTTTTTTAAGTGAAAATAGGTCGACGTGTACATGGACACCATGTATGTGCAATTCTTAAAAACACGGCAGGCAGTTTGCGATTCTGCACTTTCTCCCAATTTCGCACCTAATCTTCGTCATGATTAAGCACTTTTGTTCCATAAAAGTTCTAGCATAAGCATAATTCGGCTAGCAGATTGTTGGGAAAAAAATATTGAGTTAAAAAAAAAAAAAAAAATGCCTTTACTTCGTGAAAACAAAATGGCGTATCGCCAAGTTACCATAATCCAAAGATTAACCGAAAATTTATTAATATAATGCTGATTGTTTGACTTCTCCAATAATCATTATTCAGCATGTTATTTTATCTTCAAGTTTATATTTACATACACTAAACCATAAAAATACAGTTATATAATATGACTGATGGGAACAACTTAGTATATATTACTAGAATACAGTGATTTTATGCACTTAGCAAATCATGAGAATAATGAGCTAGAAGCTCAATTTAATATCACATTACTTGTACATATTTTTTCTAAGTTCACCTATTACAATCCAGGGGGGGGGGAGAATTACGAGATATATACCATTTTTGAGGGAATGTTACGAAGACCACAGAACATGTTCTTCATAAAATAGAAAAAAGGCTATGAAGACTATATCACACTAACAAACACAAATGAAGTAACATACTAATGCCATGTCTGAATGGAATCAAAGTAAATAATAACAAAAGCATTCTTTTTTATATCTACAATGCATATACTGCATTGTTACCCTAGATCAGAAATTTATAAATCGCATGCTGAAAAATCTAGGAAGAAAATACGTGAAGCGTAAGTGAGCAAGTCAATGCTGCAAATCACATTATTAAATGTCCACTAATATCTTTTCATGATTCTTTCAACAAAGAGAAATCGCAGATTTACAAATGTTAACATCCAAGCAAGTTATTTCATGAGGCTAGTAGAAGAGAGGAAATTACATGAGCAGAACACCAGATAGATTCATTCTTTACTTACTGGTTTAAAACACATACAACAAAAAATAAATTACAACACACATGCAGTGCTTCATTATTCTGAGGAAATGAAATAGCACTGAATCGAAAAATATTTCCTTTTAAAATTAAATCCGAGCAAAGAAGCCTCTGAAAAAGGAAATAAAGTAGTTATTATAATCACTTTGACTACATTTCAGAAATGATTATGACATCTGAATAATTTGAATACACATTGAAAAATCTAAAAATTTTCAATTTGCCGTTTGGTCTTCAACTCCCATCTCAAAAATGCTTTTTCTTAAACATCCGAATATATATGTCGAGAAAAAAAAAAAAAAAATTAGTGAAGTGTATTTCTTCAATAAACATAACAAATGTGCTAGATATAAATTTTTTCTCGTTAATATTACAAGAAAATGATGATAAATGGAGACGGAAGTTCAGATGATCAAATTTGTGACCGAATGCAATATTCGGTTAATCTGAGTAATAATTTTACTTATTTTATTACAGATAAATAAATTCAAGTAATAAATATATCATGCAATGTAAAATATTAATAAAATCTCATAAAACAACTACATTAGAGAGTCCAATACCTGCATGAATTTCATTGCAATTAATTTAAAGCCTTTACTTTCGAACCTTTCAATAATTTTCCCAATTAACCCTCGCTGAACACCATCGGGTTTGATCATAATAAAGGTTCTTTCTCGGTGAGCCATTGTATTAATTTTGTGGAAAGTACAAGATTTCGTGAACGAACTTTCACTGCAATCGCAGGCCGAAAAATCGCAGCGTGGCAAGCTCAAGGAAATGGCCAAAAGAAAGAACGTCGCTGCCGAACAAAAGAAACCGGTACATGCCATAAACCGATAGCGATAGGCGTGGTGGTCTGCGGTAGAATTTAGAAACACACAACTTTCTTGCTAATATTAATGTTTATGGATCTACTCACATCAGATATTTTTCTATGAACATAAAAATTCAATATTCTTGATCAATTCCATCAGCTCAGTTTATGTTACCGGATGAATAATTTATTCAAAGAAGTTGGCATACACGAACTATTAATGATATTAGCAAGCAACCTCCATCTGGAGACCTGTAAACAGAAAATATTAGAACAGGGATTCTCAAGAAGGGGGAATTCCCCCAGTTTCATAGTTTCAAGATAGGAATGAGGACATCCTTTTATTTACCTACCGCAATAGGTAAAAACCCGTTAAAAGTTTAACTCTAGTTTATGAATATAAAAACCTGATTTTATTCACGTTATAGTATTTATCAATATTTTCCATATTTTTAATTGCTTAATTTATAAAACACATTCACACATAAACATGGAGCAGAAAAGAAAGATCGAAAACCGTTGTATTAGAAAAATGTTCAAATGTACTATTATAAGTGTAAGCACTCAGTACTGTATTAACATTAGGGAGCATTGTCATAGCTATTTAAACTATTATTCAATAAGAAAAAGTCCTAATTGTCTGAGCGAATAATACAGTTGATTGAAAGCAGTAATTTTCTCAGTTTTTATAAAAACTCGATACACACATCAGGACTTTGCTGTCTGTAAATTTGAGATTTAAATCATAACGAATTCTAGGAGGCTTTAAAAATCAAGGAGCAATTAAAATTATATTCAGTGCTTTATAAAACAATATTTGCAAGCAGGCTACATATGTCTTCAACCCAAACAATAGTTGGGGTTTCTTTTATGGAACCTCAACGATTCTTTTTCTTGATTTCATAGAAGAAAATAACACTATGAGGAGTTTTAGGATCAAGGGCGGTTTAGGGACCTTGCAACACATGCAGTTAAGGGAGGCCTGAACAAAAGAGCGGCTCCGCATGATTTTTTGCACAGATAATTTTCATATCTTTTTGAAAATCTGCACAATACCTATTACAAACTACGTTGCGATTTTGTTGAAAATATGAAAACTAATTATCAATGATCGTATTCTACTATATATAACAAAACGTACATAAAAGTCAATAGAAGCATGTATAATTTCTTGGTGAAACAGTATTTCTCTGTTTTAAATTTCGAAATCAAAACTACCAATAAAGGGTCATGACAACTTGCTGTTGGTAATTTCCTGTTAGATAGACTTCCAATGACAGCTGCTGTCCTTTCTTCTGGTCAGGAAATACGATAATGCTTTATGGCCTTCTTTTGGAAGAGGAGGAGAGGATTGGGATTCTGCCAAAGTCGGAAATAAAGGTATGCAAAGTATGTGGTGTGGTGAGCCTTAAGTCTTCCTCTGAACTATATTTGCTAGTTTCAGTTTTAAACAGAAAGTACTCTCTATAAATATATACATATAATACGTAATGTAGATAGGAGTCCATTGAAAATACACATAAAATGCTGTAATAAATACGTAAAAATACTAATTGAAAAAGAAAACAGAGCAAAAGGAAAAAAGCTATATGTTTTTGTTTTAATTTCATTCACATGAAGGTTTTAAGACATTACATTAATGATGAGGGTTTATTATTCACAAAAGATGATAACCTTAAAGTCAGGCTTTTTGTGAGAACAAGTTCTAAATTTTTTAAGGCGAATGTGGGACAAAGGCGACAGAAAGAAATGAAGGAAAGAACCGCGCGAAATTCAATAAATTCGAAGAACTCACATTTGTATTATTGAAATATGTATTTTTTTAATATACAAAATAATGAATAAACACAGATTGCTAATTAGTTCCTTTGGACGTTGTTGACGGAGCACAAATTTCTGCTTTCAAAGCTTGGTTTATTTTTTGTTTATTATCTCTGTCTTTAAAATATATTGAACTCGCATTCTCTACATTGATTATATATTGTTTATGAAAATGAATATTTAGACAAAATAATGCATAAGACAATTTAATGAACACAGGGGCGTAGCTAGAGGGGGGCAAGGGGGGACATCTTTCCCGGGGCGCAGAATCCAAGGGGCGCCAAACTGATGTTACGACATTTTAGAATTAAATGTTTTCCATCCTTGGTAAGCAGTAGGGAGCGCGAAATCTTCAGTTGTCCCTGGGCGCTCAAAACCCTAGCTAAGACTCTGAATGAACATTATATAACATTACAGAACTAATTCTAGAATGGCTACTATGTGTAAGGCTATCAAATACTGCATTTTTAAAGTAAATATTAGAAGCATATTTCTATCGTAGTTATATGAGAACTGAATAATATGAGATTATAGTATAGTTAGTTATACAAGAATATCTGAAATAATATTTTCACAAGCATACACATAATGTTTCAATACTTGGGTTTTTCTAAGCAGATAAAGTTGTAAAATAATACACATTCAGAAATAAGTGTCAAAAGCAGTTAGTTATCTGATACATATGTAGATCATATGAGCGGAAATATGATATTAAATATATGAAATCGGATCGAAAAGTAATTGCCCTGCGTTTTCGCAATAAACGCACATTACTCGACTTTTAATGCTAATTTAGCAATCAATATAACGGAACCAAATTAGCAATCAGATACCATACAAATATTAACACATCTTAATACCGCTTTTTCCCATATATTTTCCTTTTCTCCCTAGCGCCTATTCCTCACATGATATTTACTTCCGTTGGCATAATGAAATGTCTCCCATATCCTTTTAAAGGAGCCAAGTTGGTGCAACCAAGGCTGTTCTCGAAACCTCATCCGATATTTGTAGTCACAGTTGGGATCAGGAGTACTATGTATTGTCATAATACTCATGAAAGATTTCAGACAGACTACATACACGCTAAAACATTTTTCTTTATCTAAGACTTAAAATGCATACACTTCTACTGACGCGACTCTGTTGATATGCTTTTCTAAAACTCCTCTTTGCTATACTAGAGGCAATAACGCGGGATACAAATCCCTCATCACTTCCACGACTAATCATCACATATTATTAACTTATTTACAAGAAATGCATATTAAATTTAATCTGCTATGTATTTAATTTTATTCAATCTTGTCACTACTGTGCACTGAAATTTAGAGACTGAAAAAAAAAAGGTTGTCCAAAAATTAAAAACTTACTCAACAGAAACATTATTCCAAACAAGATATATTCGGGAATACTAATGTTCTTTTATAAATGTTTTCGCATTAAACAAGAGCTTCAATGGTCTGTTTCGGCGAAACGCGTAATGGTATTTAACCTAGTTCGACAATCAGTTTTTTTCCCTTGAAAAGCCAATTGAGAGTACGAGTGGGTTAATTTACCATTTTCCGCTATTTAATTATTGTATATTGTATTGTTGCATTTTGTGTCTTCATTTTAATTTTTAATTTTTAAATTTTGCTTTTTATGTATTGGCATATTTGAATCTATGTTTTTTGTACTTTCCTTATATTTTTTTTTCCGTCGATCTAATTATCATGTGAGTTAACTTTTCACATATCACTACGGTCAGATTAATTTTTTCGTGCATTAGCAAGTCTTCCAGCATTAATTTTGGCTGTTTTTTCGCGTGTTTACAGTTTCTTTCCCCGTTTTTCCAGACAAATTTCTTTTTATTTATGTAATACTGCGTTATAATATTTCGTGGAGCTACAGCTCCTGGTAACTTTTTAGCAAGATCGCTGCAATGTTTCTACCTACTACTATTATTTCATATCTTTTAGAAGCATTATGCGCAAAAGTTTTTGAGACCAAATAGGTCTTACGTCTAATTACCAGTTAGCTTTACATTTTCTTTTTCAATTATTATATGTATATATATATGAAATATTTTGGAAGTTGTTGGGGGCGTAATAGGTGCATAGCGAAAAAACTTGATCCATATTAAAGAGAAATAAGTCGAGTCGGATTAATTTCCTTTTTTATTTAAATTCACATTTGTGGCCACGATTCACTTGGCACTCCAATCGTGCCTATTTCCAGAACAATTTTGATACTATAGCGATCGAAGCGAACACAGATGATTACAACAGCGTCTTCCCAGAATGAAAGTGTAAGCGAAAAGGGAAGTGTCGCAGTACTTCAGAGGAAGGAGGGGGGAGTCGAAAAGTTTCAGTTCCAAGTTAAAAAAAAGTTTTAGTTTACAATTATTTGATTGGGCAAGATGTATCTGCATTAAGCGTTATGTAACATGGCATAATTAATTTGAATGACGCAGATTAGACTTATAGCGCTATTTTTAAGATAAACAGAGGAAGTCCCCAAATTAAATAAAAAATAAAAGAGGTTACAGCCAATTAAAATTAGAAGTTTGCTTTCATATTTTTTATCTTATATATATGTGTGTGTGTAATACATTCAAACTCAGAAGCAATGACCAGGAAACTGGAGGCGAAGGCAGATTTAAATCTTCAGTTTTATTTTTAGCAACATGTTGTCGCAACAAGTCGGCACATTATATGTGCCTGTTCCAAAAGGCTTACATTCTTGATAACTTTATAGAAAGAAAGCAGCAGCAGACAGACAGCAATGTGTCTAGGCCACAAAGCGTAGCGTGGAAAGCAAGTGCGCAATGTTCAGAATGAAATCTGAAGTCAAACTGAGTTAGTTTTGTTTCTCAAAGCATTTTGATCGGATAGTTAATATTGCTGTAAAATTACTATTGGCTGGTTGAGTTTTAGTTCCATTTACATCATCATAATTACGTAAGAATCATATGACATAGATTTCCCTCGAAATGACGCAGTGCAAATAGAAGTTATTATTTTTAGAATAGAGAAGGGAAATTAATTTACGCTTTGCACTTTTTTTAAATTTAAAAGTGATTGAATTATATTGTTCTTATATTTCAGTTGAAGTTTCCATGCCTTTAGTTAATCTGCATGCAATAGTTGTAGAATAATGAACAGTTTAAGTTATCCAATA